AACTTGGGAGGGACACAGGGAGGAAGGTACATTACGATGGGAGGAGGGTGGAAACCTCTCGCCACTTGTACCGAGCCATTGAGAGGGGAAAGAGAATAGGGACAGAGACAGGGAGGGTTATAAGAGGAGGTAGGAAGATGGGTAGGAGGTTTTACGGACCTTTTTTGACTTTTGAGAAGTAGAGGGACGGTTGGGAAAGAGGTGCGTACGAGGTTTCTCGCGATACTAGGCTTGTAAAAAAAACAACACAAAACCCCCCGAGAGAATCGAAGAAGAAGCGAGATTAGACTGAGGCGTTTGAATTTGAAGTCTAGGGACGTCTGAGCCGAGGACAGCAAAAGGATTATGATACAGGGAGTGATTTGGAGAAGGTAACCACAGAGGTGTGGTTGTAGAAGATGGGTTACAGAAGTGGGGGGAGTTTTGAAACACGGGAATAAGAAACACGTGGGAGTCTCCCTTGGAGGCGGGGAGATGAGAAACTGCCATGGCATAAGGGAGAACCTTCTGTCTCTTTGAGGTACGGATTTTCGCCGCTCGTTTAAATAGACCTGGACAACGGCGAAATGAGTACGAAGGGTGAGCCTCATGACAGTTCAAGGCAAGAGGGGAGATCGATTGCAGACGATTTGAAATGGTCATCTGGCACCTCAGACTGGGCATTCGGCGATAATCTGCAATATTTCGACTGGATGGCCAAATCGCCAGCAATTTTACACTGTTGTGGTGTAGGGATCACTCTTTCGAACTTGTAACAGATGTCTGCTAAAATATAAACGGAGGATGGAGTTCTCGGCTGTCAAAGTTTTAAACGAGCCACATTGCTTGGTGGGATATCGTCTCCGCCCACGGGGCAGGAAGGAAGTAAGTGTCTCCTTGAGGAATTGGGAGATCTATGGAGTTCCTAGGCAGTTCTAGATGTCGGTGCCACATTCTGGAAATTTATGTTGACTTATGGTATGGGGACAGATAACGGTACCACTACAGATTGAGGGAATGATGTTTTTCAAGGGGGTGACAGGAAACAGTATCATATATGGGAAAGGACGAGAGAGTCACGAAGCGATGGGTAGCATTTCTTTACGGTAATGATGCGGCCGTACCGCTCTTAAGGAGCATGAAAAGAAATATCTTTACCAAAACATGGCGTGGAGTGCCTTTCCAATACTATGGTCAGAAAAGTAGGCAGTAGATGAAGTTGGTCGTTAAGTGAAGAATTGAGTCCCACTGTTACAGTCTGAAACTGAGAGGGAAAGGTTAGGTGAAGGGACGTGTCTATCGGTTTCTGAGAAGAACGATGAAGGTGAAGGTGGGAGAAGTATCAATCAAGCAGGTAAATTGTCGTTGACGTTTTAGGCGTGGGAACCAGAGTTGGTCACGACGTGTTGGAAAGGGTCGGCGATTTGAAAATTGCCGCACCGTAGAGGGAGAGGCCGGAAGCATAGTCAGAGGAGAGCCGAGGTCATGATAAATCGAAGGGAGTCGTCGACGGGCCTCAGTACCTGAAGCGGGTGAGGAAACTGCACGGCAATAGGTACAGAGGCATGAGGAATGTCTGAAGAGTGGTCCAAAGACGAGGCGGTGGGTTCAGAAGGGGTGTGGGTATCAAGAAGGGGCCCGGGGTACTAGGTTCAGGGGACTAGGGCTGCCCGATGGTTAGGTACTCTTTCTTTTTGGTTGTTAAGAAAAAAAAAGAAAGAAGAAAAGAAAATAAAAACAAAAAAAAAGAAAAAATAAAAAAAAGGGGGGACCGGGGAGAGGGATAGTTCCTAGGAGGAATGAAAGGGCCAGAAATCTCCCTCCGCGCCCAAGAGGACTCGACACCGCTGTAGGCAGATGCAGCATGGGACCCGTGCCATACCCTACCCTTCATGCCAGTAAACCAGCAAAATACTGGGATAGCAACCTCACATCTGCCGAAGCTACCTCGGTGGACAAAGATGGAGGGCGGCCGGATATATCCGCCACAAAGCATACCTCCTTCACAGCCACCACCCCCGGAATCCGGAAAGGTGGCTTTCCAGCGATACACACCGTCGCCCAACAAGACACCCAAAGCTACTCCGGGATTACGGAGAGGATCGGGACATCCCCTTTTAGGCAATCCAGATTCCACGGGCAAACTACCCCACGCAAGAAACCTCAACGGAATGGGTTGGACCCCGGTGTCCTTTCCCTACCTAGAACTAGCGCGCCTGTGGGAGAAATCACGAAGAAGGCTAAAAAGAGGGAAGGGCAAAAAGGGAGGGGTGAGGAGAGCGAGGAGGAATGGAAAAAGGGGAGGATGGGGAGGATGGGATAGGGGAGGGGAGAATGGGGGGTAATTAGGTTCGGTCTGAGGAAGAAGACCGACAGGGCTAATTCCTCAGACCAAGAGCCTCTTCACCACGCCAAGGAGCCCCCCTTGAAGAGGCTTGATTTAGGAAATTGGATCTGTGCTCCAGTTCCCTGAATTAAGCCTGAATGCCTTCCACATCCCTCCCGAGGCGCTGTATAATCCTCCGGGTTTAGCGCTTCCCCTTGATTATAATAATAATAATAATTTAACTACCCAAAATATACACTATATCCCCATTTATTTCCTATCTGTTTTAGATTACTGCACTTTACATAGTGGGTAATTTTAAATTTTTGACAAAAGTAGTCTTCATGAGCATTATACATTAGAGTAATTAAAGCATTTTTAATTACTACCCTGCTACAAGTTTCCTATTCAATGCTTGGGGTGAGTGCCATCTCAGACTGCAGTGATAATGAGGATGGAGTATATGTTGTATAAAAGAAAGGTTAAGAGAGTGGCGAAAGAGTGTAAAAGAAGAGCAAACAAGAGGATAGGTGAAGTTTGTTAAACAAATTTTACCGAGAATAAGAAAAAATTTGGCATGAGATTAATAAGCTGAGAAAGCCTAGGGAATGAATGGATTTAACAGTTAAAAACAAAAGCGGGGATTTTTTGACTGGGGAGGTGGTGGAATTGGAAGATGGAAGGAATATTTTAAGGAGCTGTTCATGTTGATGAAGAGAGGGAGGTGGTTATCTCATTCATTGGCCATGGAGGTATAACATCTTTAAGGAGTGAGGAAGAACCAGATGCAAGTGTGGGGAAAATGCATATGGCAGTGGGTAGAATGAAAGGGGGGTAAAGCAGCTGGGATTGATGAGATCAAGACAGACAAGTTAAAAAGCAGGTAAGGACATCATAGTTTGGAGGGGCCTCTGGGAAGACAATGATAGTGATGGAGAAAGTGTTTCTTCTATTTTGGGTTACCCTACCTCAGTGGGAGAGGTCTGGTGTGTTAAAAAATCTAATAATACAGTGGGCCCCCAGTTTTTGTCCGGAACAGAAATCATACAACTCAGATTTCGAGCACTTTTTTTTGGTGAAATTTTCCCCCTGGCTTTGTACATCCGTGCTGAAATCATCTGTATCAGACACGTCCACCTGCCTGGGACGCCGCCTCTCACGCATACCAGACTCAGTCTGCCTGTCTCTTGCTGAGTTAGCAATACTCCTCACGTTCATCCATTATTTTTTGTGCCTGTTTATTGATTGCGACTGTGAAATAAGCCACCATGGGGCCAAAGAAAGTTCAGAGTGCCAGCCCTTTGGTAAAGAAGGTGAGAAACACGATGGAATTCAAGAAAGAACTTGTAACAAGATATGAAAGTGGCGTATGTGTGGCCAAGCTCGCCAGGATATATGGGATGTGGAAGAGTTGGTGGAGGACCACAGGGAAGGGCTAACCAATTGAGAGCTGCAAGACCTTCAACTGGAACAGCAACAGATCACAGCTGAGGAAATTGCTTCAGAGGAGGAGGAGAAAGAGAGGGGAGAATGTGCCTTCTTCAGTGATTAAGGACATGTGTGCAAAGTGGAGTGAGTTGCAAAGTTTTGCAGTGAGCTATCACCCTAACATAACTGTTGCAAGTCATGTCTGCAACATGTTCAATGACAATGTCTTGTCTCATTTTAGGCAAATCTTAGAAATGCCAGAACAGGTCTCTTTTGAAAGGGGTGCAGTGACTCTCAAGCTGGTCTTGTGTCAGTAAAAGACAAAGAAGGGAAGTAACCCTGGATAGGGCTTTGATACCCGAAGTCCTTATGGAGGGGGATTCCCCTTCCAAACAATAACCTGAACTCCCTCTCCCCTCCTCACCTTCCATATGCCAACAAGAGTCTTCAATAAAGGTATGTAATGTTCATTTATCATTAAAATTGGTCATTTATATTTCTCATTCTGTACGTAAAACTATAGTTATTTCTCTATAAAATGTATTTTTTGTTAATATTTTTGGGTGTCTGGAACGGATCAACTGGATTTACATTATTTCGGCCGACCTTCTGGAACGGATTAAGGATGAAAACCGGGGTATTACTGTAATAATAGTTAAAAGTTCCTTTAAATATGAGCTTTCCTTGGTGTTGGTGTCTATGTAAATATAGCACATGCATGTAATTTGGGCAGTTTCTTTGGAATATGTAACATTACTATCAATCATTTATTAAGTATTGTGAACTGAAATATTACTGGACACTAGTCTTTCAAAATGAAAGATAAATAAAAATGTTCAATATCTTATAAACATAATATAATATTCTTTATTTATACAAGTACATGTACAAGCTATACAGGCCTGGCTGACATCAATGACACACTACTATATAGAAAGCCCCTTGTTATGCAGAGCATTTTGGGCAAATTAGGCCAATTTTGTCCTGGGATGCAACCCACACCAGTTGACTAACACCCAGGTACCCATTTTACTGAAGGGTGAAGAGTGGACAGCGGGTGACTTATGGAAAAACATCCTAATGTTTTCCAGCTGTACCAGGGGATTGATCCTGGACCACAGTGTGTGAGGTGAGTGTGCTAGCAATCGAGTAATAGATTTATTTCATAGCCTAAAACTGGCCTAAACAAAATATAAAACTGTTTACAGAAAATAGACAATTTGTCTAATATATAAAGCCATACAGAACCAAGATTTCTGTTTGTTACCTTCACCACACTGCAACATTAAAGAGTTGCGAAAACGCTCAAATGTGCTGAACTCCACATCTTTACGTCGGTCCCCGTCTTGCGTGTGCTTCCACAAGCATAAACGTCCAGCTACAAAAAAAAAAAAAAAAAAGTATGATATTAAAGATTTATTATGTTAAATCAGCATCTACATATTGTCTATTATAAGTACTCTCTCACTTCTAAAGAGCCGTGCATGAAGATTAAACAAGTACATATTTTATTAATTTCACAACTTTTGAGGCCTGAGATATAACAGCATCAACCTCAGAACACCCTCAAGGTAGACTCTAGGTAGTACAATTTACAGACTATCTTTTAATATTACATAGTAACATTAAAACTTATCCAATTTTTATTAATATGCAGAATGTACAGTGGAACCTCAAATTCTGAATGTATCACTTATCGAACGCTTTGAAAATCGAACACTTTTTTCGAACCAACTTTGTCCCTATTATCGAACTCGCCCCTATTTTCGAACCGCCGGGTACCGGATCTGTCCGGCAGCCCCCACTGTCCATGTCCCCGCACAGGCGCCGTGAGCCAGTCTGGTTTTGTTGATGCTTGAGTGAACACTAACCTGCTCTCTCATTCAAACATTTTATGATTATTTCATTGTGTTTAGTGCTTGTGGGACTGTGAAATAAGCTACCATGGGCCCAAAGAAACTTGCTAGTGGTAAAGAAAGTGAGAAACACCATAGATGTGAAGAAAGAAATAATACAGAAGTATGAGAGTGGTGTGAGACTTGTTGAGCTTGCCAGGATGTATGGGAAAAATAAGTCGACCATTGGTTCTATCCTGGCAAAGAAAGAACAAATCAAGGAAGCTGATGTTGCGAAAAGTGTTAATATGCTAACCAAAAAAAGACCACAGACAATCGATTAGGTTGAGAAGTTGTTGCTGGTGTGGATCAAAGACAAAGAGATGGCAGGTGATAGTGTTTCAGAGACCATTATTTGTGAAAAGGCAAGGAAGTTGCATGCCGATCTGGTACGGGAAACTCCTGGAACCAGTGCTGATAGTGAATTTAAGGCCAGCAGAGGCTGGTTTGACAGATTTAAGAAGTGTAGTGGCATACACAATGTTGTAAGGCATGGTGAGGCAGCCAGTTCAGACAAATGGGAGGCTGAAAAGTTTTGTATAGGAGTTTAAGGTTTATGTAGACACTGAAAAATTAAAACCCCAACAGGTGTTCAATTGTGACGAAACAGGCCTGTTTTAGAAGAAAATGCCAAAGAGGACCTACATTACTCAGGAGGAAAAGGCACTCCCAGGGCACAAGCCTATGAAAGACAGGCTAACTCTTTTATTCTGTGCTAACGCTAGTGGTGATTTTAAATTGAAGCCTTTACTTGTGTATCATTCAGAAAATCCCAGAGTGTTTAAGAAAAACAATGTCATAAAGAACAAGTTATATGTCTTGTGGAAAGCAAATAATAAGGCATGGGTCACAAGGCAAATTTTCAAAGAGTGGGTCCATGAAGTGTTTGGTCCCAGTGTGAGAAAATACCTCCTAGACAAAAATTTGCCACTCAAGTGCCTCCTGTTAATGGACAATGCTAATGCTCATCCTCCAAACTTATTAGACCTCTTGTCTAGGGACTTCAGTTTTATAACAGTTTTATAACACCACTCCTCTCCTCCAGCCCATGGACCAGCAGGTCATTTCTAACTTCAAAAAACTCTACAAAAGCAGTGTTTGAAAAGTGCTTTGAAGTGACCACAGACACTAAGTTGACCCTAAGAGAGTTCTGGAGGAATCACTTCAATATCTACAGCTCCATAAGCCTTATAGGTAAGGCTTGGGAGGGAGTGACTTCCAGGACTTTGAACTCTGCTTGGAGACAATTGTGGCCAGATTGTGTCCAAAAGAGGGATTTTAAAGGGTTTGAGGCTGACCCTGACCCTCTGCCTTTTGTGGACTCTCTTGTGGCATTGGGGAACACCTTTGGGCTGGAGGTGAGTGGCGAGGATGTGGAAGAGTTGGTGGAGGACCACAGGGAAGAGCTAGCTCTGAAGAGCTGGAAGAGCTTCATCTGGAACAGTATCAGACCATACCTGAGGACCTTGCTTCAGAGGAGGAGGAAGAGGGAGTGGATGAGGTGCCTTCTTCAAAGATTAAGGAGATTTATGCCAAATGGAATGATGTCCAAATGTTTGTGCAGAAGTACCACCCTGAGCAAGCTGAAACAAGCCATCTTTGCAACAAGCTCAGTGACAAAACCATGTCCCATTTTAGGGAAATCTTAACGAGGCACCAGAAACAGAGGACTGTGGACAGTTATTTTGTGAGACAGGGGTCCAGTAACTCTCAAGCTGGTCCTAGTGGCATTAAAAGACAGAGAAGGGAAGTAACCCCAGAGAGGGCTTTGATACCTGAAGTCCTCTTGGTGGGGAATTCTCCTTCCAAATACTAGCCCCAACTCCCTCTCTCCTCCTCCCCATCTTCCAGATGCCATCACCAATCTTCAATAAAGGTAAGTAAAAATGTTATTTAATATGCTTATTTGTATTTATTAATACATAATTGAACACAAACATAGTATTTCCTCAGAGAAGAACTTAACTTTTTGTATGTGGCAACTTCATGCAGGACTGCCCATATATTACAACACAAGTACTATAATATCAATATATATACAGGTAGATGTAATAACAGGGGAGGATACAGTAGCCTAGGCTGGGAGACTACAGTAGCCTAGGTTGGGAGACTACAGTAGCCTAAGCTGGGAGACTACAGTAGCCTAGGTTGTGTATGTAAAACTAGGTGTGTATGTAAAACTGCAATTAATCTCTACAAAATGTATTTTTTGTGAATATTTTTGGGTTTCTGGAACGGATTAATTGTATTTCCATTATTTCTTATGGGAAATATTGCTTCGCTTTTCAAACTTTTCGAATTTAGAACTAGCTCCTGGAATGGATTAAGTTTGATATTTAAGGTTCCACTGTAACTTGAAATATAACTGTAAACAAAAATTTTTTTTTTATTTTTTTCAACAAGTTGGCCGTCTCCCACCGAGGCAGGGTGATCCAAAAAAGAAAGAAAATCCCCAAAAAGAAAATGCTTTCATCATCATTCAACACTTTCACCACACTCACACATAATCACTGTTTTTGCAGAGGTGCTCAGAATACAACAGTTTAGAAGCATATACGTATCAAGATACACAACATATCCCTCCAAACTGCCAATATCCCAAACCATTCCTTTAAAGTGCAGGCATTGTACTTCCCATTTCCAGGACTCAAGTCCGACTATATGAAAATAACCGGTTTCCCTGAATCCCTTCACTAAATATTACCCTGCTCACACTCCAACAGATCGTCAGGTCCCAAGTACCATTCATCTCCATTCACTCCTATCTAACACGCTCACGCACGCTTGCTGTAAGTCCAAGCCCCTTGCCCACAAAACCTCCTTTACCCCCTCTCTCCAACCCTTTCAAGGACGACCCCTACCTCACCTTCCTTCCCCTATAGATTTATATGCTTTCCATGTCATTCTACTTTGATCCATTCTCTCTAAATGACCAAACCACCTCAACAACCCCTCTTCTGCCCTCTGACTAACACTTTTATTAACTCCACACCTTTTCCTAATTTCCACACTCCGAATTTTCTGCATAATATTTACACCACACATTGCCCTTAGACAGGACATCTTCACTGCCTCCAACCGTCTCCTCGCTGCTGCATTTACCACCCAAGCTTCACACCCATATAAGAGTGTTGGTACTACTATAACTTTCTACATTCCCTTCTTTGCCTCCATAGATAACGTTTTTTTTGACTCCACATATACCTCAATGCACCACTCACCTTTTTTTCCCTCATCAATTCTATGATTAACCTCACCCTTCATAAATCCATCCGCCGCCCGTCAATCCCAAGTATTAAAAACATTTACTTCTTCCATCTCCCCCTCCCCAATTTGATATCCAATTTTTCTTTATTAAATCTTTGATCCCCTCATCACTTCTCTTTTCTATGTTCCTTTCAATTTCTACCTTTACAACATTCCCAAACTCTCCCCCTAACTTTGAAATTTTTCCTTGAATCTCCCATAAGCACAGTTCTCAGCAAAAAGTAACTGTTTTAAATTTCCCCATTTTGAATTTGTTTCCCCCATAATTTAATCCCCCCCCTTTCCCCCGAACACCCTAGCATTTACTACTTTTAAAACCCCCATCTAAAAATATATTTAAAAACCCATGGGACATTACAACCCCTGTCTAGACCTATTTTTACCGAGAAGAGCCCCTCTCTTTCCCCACCCAAAATGAGCCTCATACCCTCTAAAAAATCTTTACAGCATTTAGTAATTTTACCCCCTATTCCATATATTGCAAACATCTGCCAATTGTCCCTATCCACTCTTCATATGTTTTTCTAAATCCATAAATGCAATAAAAACTTCCCTCCCTTTTATCAAAATACTTTTACATATATGCTTCAATGTAAACACTTGATCTAACTCCCTCCCCACTTGAAACCCCCTTGCTCATTCGCAACCTACATTCGTCTCCCTTAATTTTTAAATTATAACCCTCCATACACTTTTCCGGGTATACTCAATAAAAATTATTCCTCTATAATTTTTACAACTCTTTTGCCCCCTTTCCCTTTTAAATAAAGGGGACTAGCATGCTCTCCGCCAACCCCTGGGTCCCTTCCCTCTTTCATACATTTATTAAACAAAAGTACAACCCACTCCAACACTAATCCCCCCCTGTTTTTAAAATTTCTGTCATGACCCCATAGTTCCAGTGCTTTCCCCCTTTCATTCTACGTAATCCTCACACGACCTCCCCACATTTACATTTGCTTTTTTCCCTCCTAAAAGATGGTATACCTCCTGACCACCTCCCCATTTCTTCCTAAACTTTAAAAGTTCCTAAAAATATTCAAAACAAAATTATATACAATTTTATTTCAAGTAACTTTCTGCATATTAATACAAATTGGATAATTTTTTTTTTTTAACAAACCGGCCCTTTTTCCACCAAGGCAGGGGGGCCCAAAAGAAAAAAAAAGTTTCTCTTTTTAAAAATTTAGTAATTTATACGGGAAAAGGGGGTTAC